AAGATCAGTGGCGACGTTGATAGGCCGCGTATTAAGGATGATCGGCCTCGCCTTTCTGAAGACCGCCCGCGCTCTCATAGCCAGAGCCAAGTGCCTGACCGCAGCGTGGAAACACCCAAGCCCAAGGAGAAGAAGGCTGACGAGTTCCTTGAGCGTAAGCTCCGACCTGTTCGCGACAATCTCAGCCGCCTTAAAAAGGCGACGCCGAAGAACTACCCGCAGAAGGAAGGGATGCTCAAGATCCTTAAACAAGAGCTGATGGCTGTCGGCAACTTCATCCGCCAAAACACCAAACAGAATGAGGAGCTCGAGGATCGTCTATGGTAAGCATGTTCATCAGCTTCTCACACACTTATACTAATCGATGATAGGACTTTCACGATCAACCACCACTGGCCTCGGCCCGGTGTGACTGTCGCATCGGTCAAGGGCATGTACACTAAGATGGTCACCTCTGAAAAGCCAGCTGCGGCCGCGGCTCCGACGAACGGCCAGAACAACGGCGCCTGAGCACTTCTCTACGTACACACACACACATATGATGCTGACGCATCATTTCACATTATCTACCACGGGCCTATGGCGTTTTCGATTTTTTACGGTGGCACGCCGTCGAGTATATTTGCAGCATAGCGTAGGTGTTCGGCTCGGTTGGCTACTCAAGTTATGACTAGTTACGGGCACTGTTTGATTCTTCGTCTTTCTATTGTATTTGCATGGACAGCCCAGTATCAGGGTGCGCCCCGGTGTTCATGATTTTCGCAGGGCGGCGCAAATAAAAACTAGCGTACAGGTTGTTGAAGAGCATGGCGGCACTTGGGATAGTGCGCTTTTACATTACAAGAATGGAAGGTCTCTAGGGAGAGAGTATCATTAGTAGCATGTAGATTCAGCATTTGCGGTTGTGCAAGATGACAATGGACTACACACATCACGCCTTCGCTTCGCTGCATGATGATGGTGAGGTATTATTATTGAATGCAGCCTTGGCTTCTTGAAGGATGAGATGTGATCACGCGAGTCATCTGCTGCCCAATCTTCACGGTCTACAACCCTACAAGCTGGTTACTGGGCTGTCTAGAGTATTCCAACGGCCCACACGTGGCTTGGAAGCCAAGCGGTGAGGGATATTCGGGGAGCTTCCAGCGGCAGATTGAGAATTCGCAGAGGCATTTGATGAAGCGCGAGGATTGTCGGTATGCTGAGGTCACGCGATCAGCAGCGTACGTTTGCTAGTGAGACAGCTGTGGCTGTGGGGAAGGGCATGTGTGTTGCTGGCTGGGGTTTGTGTGGGAGAGTGTCTAGTGTCTAGTGCGAGGGCGATGACGCTCCAATGACAAGGGTCGCTGAAGGATCGTGCTCGCAGCGGTGGCTCCCTGTTGCGCCTTGCTTCCCCGGCGGGCGCCATCAGGGTGTCTTCGGCGCTTTTGCATGGTAGAGTCCTGTGCGAATATACAGTCGCGCGCCTTCCACGAAGCCTGAGCAGATGCCTCGCCCCAACACTCCATCATGATACACATGCTGCGCGTACGGGACGCAGCTCTATGCGGGCTGCTCTTTTGGGCACACGCGACCGCGGCCCCGCCTAACGCGGCTGGCGATGCAGCAAACAGCCGCGCTGCGGGTTCCCGATCCATAGACGCGGATGGGCGACGAAAGCTTACAGGCAGGTTCCTACATATTACGGGTACGTCGGCCATTTGATCCCTGGGGCTGCTATCGCGACTAACGTCATGCCGCAGACTTTCACCCAGACCCTTTCTACAAGACATATTCGAGCACAGAAGCCGACGCTGCGTGCCATCGCAAACGCGGACCCGCTGGCCTCTATGGCGCAGAAACCACTGGATGCGACTCCCCCTTTGCGCTCGTCAACCAGACGTTCAAGTGGATTGAAGACAACATCAAGGACGATGTAGACTTTGTTATCTGGACCGGCGACTCGGCGCGACACGACAACGATGATGAAATCCCACGGACGCAGAAGCAGGTCGTGCAGCAGAACGAGTATATGGTCTCCAAGTTTGCAGAGGTCTTTGGACAGAGCGGCCACGGGCATGGGCCTAACAGCTTCGCGATACCCATAGTGCCGACTTTCGGGAACAACGACATCTTGCCACACAACATCTTCACAAGCGGGCCAAATAGGTGGACGACAGAGTTTCTGGACATATGGCGCGGTTTCATACCTGAGGCGCAGCGACATCAGTTTGCGCAAGGAGGCTGGTTTTCGGTTGAGGTGATTCCTGGGAAGCTGTCCGTCATCAGCCTGAACACCATGTGAGTGGCATAGAAGTTTGGGTTGTTAGGACCGTGACTAACACGCGCAGGTATTTCTTCACTTCCAACTCCGCCGTCGATGGCTGCGCGAAGAAACGCGAACCCGGCTACGAACACATGGAATGGCTGCGAATTCAGCTTGATATCCTGCGCGATCGCGGCATGAAGGCCATCCTCATCGGACACGTACCGCCTGCTCGCGTCGACAGCAAGGAGAGTTGGGACGAGACCTGTTGGCAGAAGTACACGCTCTTTGGACGACAGTTCCGAGACGTCATTGTGGGAAGTCTCTTTGGGCACATGAACATCGATCACTTCATGCTGCAGGATTTCGAGCACATCGAAAAGGACACGGAGAATGGCAAGATGGGAGCTTTGGATGGCAGATCTGCTCTGGCTGATGGGGTTCAGCTCCTGGAAGATGGTGAGGTGACGGTGGCATCTGCGTCGGATTATCTGCTTAATCTGCGGGAGGCTTGGGCTCAAATACCTGCGCCCCCGCCGAAATCGAACAAGAAGTCGCGCTCGAAGAATGTCGATGACGAGGAAGAAGAGGAGGAGTCGATGTGGGAGTGGCTCATGACCATGGTCGGGAAGTCGCCAAAAGACCGGAAGGAAGAGAGGAAGAAGTATCTCGAGAAGATTGGAGGAAGATATGCTGAACGTTACGCGGTAACACATGTCTCACCCAGCGTAGTACCGAACTACTTCCCCACCCTCCGCATCATCGAGTACAACATCACTGGCTTGGAACATCTCAGTGTAGCGTCTAGCCCAATCAGCCCGCCCACGATCGAGACGCCAGCCGAGCAACTCCCGATTACCCCCACGGATTACGACGAGTATGACGATTACGACTATACCGGCGACGAAGACGTAGAAACCACGCGAAAGAAGCACAAGGGCAAGAAGAACAAAAAGAAGCCCCGAAAATACAAGTTCAAAGTCCCAGACGGCCCTTCTAAATCCTCTCCACCGGGCCCAGCCTATTCCCCGCAGACCCTGACATGGACACGTCACATCCAGTATTTCGCCAACCTCACACACATCAACAACGACTTCCTCGAGCCCTCGCCCGACGCAGCCCACACACCTATCAACGACCGTCTCTCCATCAACAACGATGCTGTTAGCGCGATATTCGGATTCGGTGTCAGTCCCGATGGTAGGATCGAGAACAAGAAGTGGAATGAGGGAAAGCACAAGAAACACCAGGGTAAGCAGCCGAGACCCGAACCGCATCCGAATGAGTTTGTGTTTGAGGTGGAGTATGATACGAAGAAAGACCACGGGTTCAAGGATCTTACCGTGAGGAGGTGGGTGGAGTATGCAAGGAAGATTGGGGCGAGTAAGGGGAAGAGTAAGGATACTGAGTTTGAGTTTGAAGAGGAGGATGTTGAGGAAGAGTCGGAAGTAGAAGACGACGTTGAAGGAGAAGGAGAGGACATGGTGGAGGAGGAAGAAGAAACTGATGAAGTGGATGAAAACGACTTCGTCATCGTAAAACACAAGAAACACAAGCATAAAAAGGGAAAGAAGGGAAAACACCACAAGAAACACAAGGCGTCCAAGGAATGGTACACTTTTGTTAAGCGCGCGTTTGTGGGTACTATGGATCCGAAGGAGCTTAAATTGGTGTTTGGGGCTGCGGACGTCGATGATGTATTGGAAGAGGGGCAGGAGAATATGGAGTTGTAGATGGTACGGTGTGTTGTATGGGGAGCGGAGTGGAGTCGAGTGTGCTTGTTGAGTTGATACCCTTTGGCGTTTTTTGGTCGCCAATCTCTTTCGTTGTCGGGGATGTGGGCATGGGGAGATTCGTTCTGTGTATATGGATGGGCATGGGAGTGGCGTCGCATTGCATTGCATAGGGCTGGCTTAGTATATTACTCAGGAAGCATATAGCTATGGAGAAGAAAGAAATGTAGGAATCGGATACAAACCCCCAATGTGAGTCTTATCTCTGATCCACTGAGCGTGAAGTCGATGAACAGTCGCTCTTGCGCCGTAGATGTAGTAGCTGCGCCGTAGCATCTCACTTGGTCGTTGACAATGTAAAGATTTGGCATACTCCAGATCAATAGATGCGTTGCTTCAGTGCGGGCGGTGTTAGGCTATAAAGTTCCAATATACCGTATCGAGTAACCTCGCGAAACCGTTGATGACGGCGGACTGTTACTCTTTCCACCGGAAACCTTAGCCCGACTCTCCTACACTACAACTTCCAGTCCACAACCCGTGGACTGCACCATTTTCTACTAGATTCAACGGTAAATCTTCTCTTCCGAATTATAGCGCCTAACATTTTTCTCGGGGTTATTGCATGCAGTCACATCTTCAATACTGTGGTATCGATGTTCGTCGCTGGCAGACTGACTGACTGCGCTAGTGGGGTTCCGGCACCGAGTTACCGCGTTGGGCAGGTTTGGGCGGGTGTGGAGAGCGGTGGACTGTTACGCTTTTGCTTTCACGCGGACGCGCTGGCTGGCGCGGAGGTATATACGACTGCGCAGGGCTGTTTCACACGTTGTTGGCTGGATCATGGAATCTTTGTACTTGGCTGTGCGTGTAGTTTTGAGGATTTGATGCATGTCCAGTTTACACTGTTGATATTGTGGTTCTTGTTTTACTGCTTGTTCATGGTGATGTTGATTATGTAAAGTGGTGAACTAGCGTGTTTGGACGTTTGGAATACGTAGGTACGAAAACAGAGCGCAACTTCACTTGTTGCACACCTTGAACCAAGTCCCGGGCTGCCCGACGTGATCTCCCTGTTGAATATCCCATTCCACATTCACCACTTTCATCTCCCTCTTATTTGCTCCCGTATACTTGTAATCGCCCGTGACACACTCCTCATCTTTCAGCGACACGATCTCGCTGGCCCAGTAATCACTCGCATACATTGCTCCCTTGGGGTTGCCTCCATAACTCACACTGACCATCAATATTAGGGTTCCCAAGTACGACGCCCCGACCTGCGGTTGGTATCCCACTTGCTCGTCGTAATAATCGCGCGATGGTTCGAAGCACTTGAGGTCGTGAAACTTCTTCTCGCTCTCCTGCGAGGAGTCTGTGATAGCGGGAGGGCTAGACCAGATAGCATACTCGAAGAGCCCGGTACCCCCCGTCAAGGCCCTGCCAGTATGTCCAGCCAAGTAGCATGTGCCTCCGGGCAGCACGGGGCACTCGAACGAGGAAATCACGCCATATAAATCACCCCTGGACGACACACGTCGCCTTCGTGGTATCAAAGTGTACGACGAGTGGTTCTCGACTCGAGCGAGGAACGTACGAGCGGAGCCGCTATTCCACGAGGTGAGATTCGAGAGCTGCACAGAGGGGGGCAGTGTGAGGGGGAGAATGACAAGGATGATAGTCCACCATTCGTTGTTGTTCGCACAGCGCACGCGGATGTGGTGCTGGTTCTTGGGCGGATTGGGCAGCGGAATTAACTTGGCATCCAAGTAGCTGCACATCGGGTTTGGCACGCGGTCAGCTTCTAGACGTGGGGGGCGAGCGATGGTGGAATATGGCACTAACCTGTGTGTACTGTGGATCGTCCACCGGCCTGTGTCGGGCTTGAAAGACAAGTCCCACTCATGCTGGTGGATGGCGTAGGTCGGCTCTCTCCAGTCGTCCCGCCAATTTCTCTGCAACATCTCTGCATTTAGCACATGGCCTGCCTGACATGGCACTTTCGGATCATCGAGCGCCGCCTGGATGGTCCTGATGAATGGGGCCTTGTATACTGGTTCGGACGCCGTCTGCCTCTTGATTTCGCTCCAGAGCGTGTCATACGCAGGGCAAGTTCGCTTTCGATCGTCCCACAAGTCCCGCCACGCCTTGACGCGCTCGTCGCTATTCTTAACTGTTTCTGCCATGGTCTTCGCCCTCGTCGCTTTATCTATATCCTCTCGCGTCCTGTGATACAGCAAGACCAAGGCGAGACCCAGACGCTCGATCATGATGGTATACTTAAGAGTCGCCTCTTGCTCTCGTTCAAGTTCCTGGATGCCATATTTCAGATCGTTTCCGTCTTGCAGCTTATCCCATTGTTCTTGGGCGAGTGGCGCCAGGAGGCCCTGTGACCCCTTGCCCTCGTCATTCATGAGCATGGCATTCATGTCATCCAGCCGGTCTTGGACGCCGTCTTGACTATCAATTAGTTTTACCCCATCGGCGAATCGCTTAGCATCTTGCACCTGTAGCCTATCTCAGTTTTCTTTTCTGTATCAAACTCGGTCGGCAGAGGGAAGATGGACGGTGGACAGAAAACAACGTACTTTTGCCGCTTTCTCCAACCTGGTGAAGCAATTCCTCACTCGATTCGCAGCGTCCGTAATCCTTTGCTTCTTGATCGTGTCAACGACCAATCTGCCCAACTCGTCGATTTTGTTCTGCAGCACCTTCAGCTCTTGCTCCAACTTGTCTTCTTTGGACTTCAGAAAATCGAGATTCAAGCCGTCGGCCAGACGCTCGGCAATCTGCGAGGCCAGCTCGGAACCCGCCGATTCGACTAAGACCAACAGCAAGGCTTCCATTGTTGAAAGGCACGAAGAGCGAATTTGGGAGGGCTATGGGCAGTGTGATTGTAACAAAGATGTTGACGGCGCTGCGACCAGAACCAAAAGCGATCTCAAGGAAACAACTAGCTTCGGAGGTAGCTCACGGAATGCTCCAAAAAAGTCTTCTCGTGTGAGTTGAAAATGAGCAAGTCAATACAGAAGGGAACCTTTTATCTTCGCCCAAAACATCTTCTTTCAGCCACAACGAACGGACAGAGCTGAAAGTACAACCCAGAGTCGGGCGAGGCGGGCCTAGACGGTCGACTAGTGTGACGAGGCCGCATGGATACGAATGTAGTATGCACCCAAGCCCAATGAGGTGTGCGAGCATGATTTATCTCAGTCTCCCATAGGGTCTGTGAAGATTGTGCAAAGCTGTGAAAACGTATTTACCTCCCGAGGTTGAGTTTTTTAGTGCGTATTCGAAGACAACCTTGGAAAGCCGAAAGCTTAAGACAGAACCTTGGAAGATCTAAGAAGATACCTAGGCCTAATCTCAGAACGACAAAAGTACAGTAGACAGCAATGAAAAGAAATGTTTTACTTGTCACGTGTGGAGCGCAGAACAATGACTAGAGAGAGAAGCGTAGATCACAGTAGAAGCGGTGGAGTTGCTGGTTCACTACCCCGCAAGAAACGCCACATGCGCCGCCACAATGCTCACAGCCACAGCTGACGTAAGGAGCCTTGGGATGCTCGAACCATCCGTTCAGTATGACACTCCACTCTTCACACGCCCAACGCACGCGATCAGGCAGCAAAGTCTGCGCACCCTCTCCTACCCAACAACAGAAAAGCGTGAATACACCAGATTGAACTGCGATACAAAACGTCATCATGCCGCCGCCGCCTCCTCGTATGTCAATGCTCCTCTCCGTACTACATGCGACATGTACTGACACCGAATCCAGCACCACCGCCTCCCATGCCTGGGAAGGGAAGGGGCATGCCACCGGCTCCGCCGCCAATGGGAGGGATGAAAGCACCAGCGCCGGGTGCAGGCAGAGTTCGTCACATTCACAGGGACACCTGCACTACGTGGAACCCGGGCTAACGCGTCACAGGGAGCACTTTTGGGCGACATTACAAAGGGCGCACGACTGAAGAAAGTGACACAAATCAACGATCGATCCTCCCCTATAGTCGGCAAAGTCAGCGACGGACCTGCAGCAGCACCCATGGGCGCGCCCAAGATTCCTGGAGCTCCGGCCGTTCCTGGAGGGGCAAACCGAGCAAGAGCCAACAGCGACAATGGAGATGGAGGGAGTGTACCGGCTTCGGCACCACAATTAGCGGGCATATTCGCTGGAGGTATGCCGAAGCTTAGAAAAGCAGGCGGTGTCAAGACAGGCGCAGAGGACCAGGCGCCTTATCTGTCAGACCCCGAATCGAACAGAGCTTCAGCCCCTCGAGGAGCAGCACCCAAACCGCCTGGACTTCCTCCTTCAGCACCTCCTGGGCCTCCGATTCCAGGTATGCGACCAGGGATGAATGCGCTCCGGGGCCAGGACTCAAGGCCCAACTCGGTAGCCTCAAGTATAAGCGGGAAGCCTAAGCCGCCTCCACCGATTGGAAAGAAGCCTCCTATGCCACCGCCCTCCTCTCGAAAGCCATCAGGTCTCGCTGCACCACCTGCCCGGGCACCACCTCTCCCAGGATCCGCGCCGCCTGCTCCTCCGCCGTTACCCCCGAGCTCGACGTCTCCTCGACCAACTGGAGCACCACCTGCTCCTCCACCACTACCACCTTCGCCAGCACCACGAGCGACCCCTCCACCGCCGCCGCCACCCTCTGTTCCCCCGCCATCGAGCGCGCAAGACGACGACGACGAGTACGATCCATATAAATACAATTCAGCGCCTCCTATGCCTCCACCACCGCCCCCACCCTCGAACGGGCACGCGCCGTCGCTCGCAGAAACAGCCGCGCGCAACGCCTTCAGTCGCACATCGCCTGCTGCTCCCCCACCAGCACCGCCGAGCGCACCCGCGCCTTCTCCACCACCCAGCCAACCGCTCAGCCGACCCGCCTCGCAAACACCGCTGCGATCCATGATGGATTCAAGCTCATACACTTTGTCAAACGGCGGATCAAGCATTAAGAGTCCGACCAGCTCGCATGCTGGAGGAAGGGAAAAGGGCAGAATCAGGCCCATTCACGATTTGAGATGGAGATTCCAGGACGAAGGGCAATTCCCAAGACCAAGAGAATTCACCGGCGGACCGAAGAGATACCGCGCTGGACGGGGCAGCAGTGTGCCATTGGATCTGAGTGCGTTTGAATGAGCAGGGTCGCGACAAAATGTGTTTTGGGGGTGATTTGTTGCATTGCTGCTGGTCAGAGCGGGTTTAGGGATAGATATTGAAGTTTAGCCTTGGCGTTAACGGGGTTTGGTGCCTTTTGCGGTGTGTTGTGGACGGTCAGGAAAGATTGTTGGCGAGATGGTGTATACGTCGCGAGGCGGTGCACCATGGGTATATCGCATGCAATAGCAGGTACCTCAGTACGTTCAAAAATATCAACAATATATCGTAAGAGAGCGACCAGTCGAGACCTTGTGTTGGAATACTGATTACTAAGATCTAAGGTTTGAATAAGAAGGAATCCATGTTTCCGTGACATGGCGAGCCTTGTGGCTGGGTATCGGACAATGAAAGTACCTTTCCCAGAAAAAGATTGAAGGAAAAAGAAGAAACCATTGACTGCACGTCAATCCCCGATGAAGTACAAGGTCAGCTACGACCACGACACAACGTGCCCGATCGCCTAAGCGCTCTTCTCCTTCTTCGTCCTGGGTACACGGCAGAGCCAGTAAAGGAAAATCGCCGCCGCCACATTAAACCCAACATAAACCCAAAGCAGCCCAAAGTCCCTCCAGCGCGTATCCCAATCCGCATGAATACGCTGCAAAAACTGGTTCGTCGAGTCCATCTGACAAAAGCTGCACTGCTGCGTCGCCTGCGAATCACGCAGATAGCCACCAGCCATCTCAATATACTCAGACATGTACTCGCCACACGTCTGACCCTGCGGCGGAAAGAAAGTTTGAAACTCAGAGTCCGCGCAGTAGGCAGGCGCTTGACCCAGCGTCGTCGACATGAAGCTCGATACCAGGTATGTGAACGGATTAACGCGGTACATGAAGATCCAGAAACCGGGTAGATCGTTAGGACCAGCGAGGATGCCGCAGAAAGCGTACAGCATAATCGTAACCAACGTAGCGAGTGCACCAGCGATCTCCTCGTTCGGCGAGCCAGCGATAAGCAGATGAGCGAGTGTGCTTGCGAATATGAAGACGGCGACGACGATGAGCAAGGCGTGGAAACCGCGGATGTTGACTGTGTTTGTGGCTTCTGCGTTGCGGTATAGACCGGCGGGGTAGTACCATACTAGGAAGCAGAAGATGGCCATGAAGGCATTCCAGGCTAGCTCGATGAAGATGTTGGAGAGGACGAAGGCTTGCCAGGCGTAGGTTTTTGATTGACGCTCGCGGGCTTCGTAGAGGGTGCGCTGCGAGATCCACATTGGCATGATTTGGTAGATTAGTTGGATTACCTAGGATGGTTGTTAGTGCGTATACAACGTTGGCTGTAAAAGGTTTTACGTACGACGAAGAGGAAGATGAAGACACCAAACATTTGGTTCTGGAGGCCCATCATCGTGTTTTCGCTTCCAAAGAAGGAAAAACCGATCAACAGTGAGCAGCCAATTGTCAGAATGGCCTTCGAGTAGATGTATGAAGGGGTTCTCCAATACTGCTGCGCGCATCGCATGGCTACAGCGCGGAGCTGATCCATGAACGAGGCAGCGAAGACCTGGTGGCTGGCGTCGGTTGAGTCCATGACAGCAGAGGGCCGATTGGCAAGCTCCCTGAGATCGGCTAGTTCGGTCTGAAGATGCATGTACTCTTTGCTGTTCTTCCAAACTGTAGGCCAGTCGATCTCGGTCTTTGCACCTGGCGCCGCGCCAATCGCTGCGAGCATGTACTCGGCAGGGTTGGTACCAGGAGGGCATGCTGATGCGCCGTTACGCGTGAAGTAATCGAGGAGAGTTTCGGAGCCGCGACCGATCTCGCCGAAGTAGACGGTTCTTCCACCTTTAGCTAGGAGAAGGAGTCGGTTGAAACGCTGGAACAGAAGAGACGAGGGCTGATGGACTGTGCACAGGATTGCTTGCCCATCACGAGTCAGTTTCTCCATCAAATCGCAGATGGACCATGAAGTCTGACTGTCGAGACCGGATGTAGGCTCATCGAGAAAGAGCAATAGCTTAGGACGAGCGGCGAGCTCAACGCCGATTGTGAGGCGCTTACGTTCTGTTGGAAATTAGCGAAGCTCGTAGAAGCAAAGTTGCAGTATTGGAGTGCTTACGTTCAACATTGAGTCCGGATCCTGGGATTCCGACCACGGCATCGGCGTACTGTTCCATGTCCAAAAGGCGAATCACGTGGTCGACGTAGGCTAGCCGCTCTTCGCGTCCGTACTCAGGCGGCTGACGCAGCAATGCTGAGAACTCCAGCGCCTCTCGCACAGTGGATGTGTCCAAGTGGATGTCTTGTTGCATGCAGTAGCCAGTCTGTCGCTGGAAGCTGTCGTCTCGCTGGCGGCCATCGACAAGCATGTTGCCGCCAATGACACCCATGGTTGTTCGGCTTGCGAGCACGTCGAGCAATGTGGTTTTGCCTGCGCCTGACACGCCCTAAGACTTGTTAGCTGGGATCCTAATTGAGTGTGTTGAACATCATACCATAAGAGCTGTCAGTGTACCGGGCCTGATATAGCCGTCCACACCGTCTAGGATCTTGCGGGTTTCTCCCTTGATCTGGACTTCGTAGGTGACCTTCTCCCAATGGAAGATAGACACCTGCTTCTGCATTCCAGGTTCGGGCTCACTGTTGCGACTGATCTTCTCGCCCTCGTGAACGGTCGCTCCGCCATTCTCTTCGTCCACGCTCTGCTTCTTGGCCGTGCTCTTCA